AACTGTAATAGGTCTCGCCCCGGTCAGGAACTGTACTAGTCCTGGTCCCGGTCAGGAACTGTACTAGGTCTCGTGCCGGACAGGAAGTGTAAAATGCTTGTCCCAGTCAAGAACTGTACTAGTCCCCGTCCCGGTCAGGAACTGTAAAATCTTGGTTCCAGTCAGGAACTGTATAAGTCCTCACCCCATTTGGGAACTGTAGTAGTCTTTGTCCCACTCAGGAACTATACTAGGTCTCGTCCCATTCAGGAACTGTAAAATCCTTGTCCCGGTCAGAAACTGTACTAGTCCTGGTCCCGGTCAAGAACCGTACTAGGTCTCGTGCCAGTCAGGAACTGTAAAATCCTTGTCCCGGTCAAGAACTGTACTAGTCCCCATCCCGGTCAGGAACTGTAAAATCTTTGTCCTGGTCAGGAACTATATAAGTCCTCACCCCATTTGGGAACTGTAGTAGTCTTTGTTCCGCTCAGGAACTATACTAGGTCTCGTCATATTCAGGAACTGTAAAATCCTTGTCCCGGTCAGGAATTGTACTAAGTCTAATCACAGTCAGGAACAGCACTAGGTCTCATCACAGTCTGGAACTGTACAGTACTAGTCCTTATCCCAAGGACTGCACTAGATCATGTCCAGGTCAGGAACTATACTAGGTCTTGTCCAGGTCCATTGTCTCTCTCTCAACTTTCTTGGGACTCTGACACTTCGCCCGTTCCTGATTTATTCCTGCTGAATTCCCGTGTAAAAGTTCCTGTGTCAGTGTGTGTCTTTAGGTGTGCAGTGTGTATTTACTCATGCAGTGGGATCAGTCCAGTGGGTGTGGCTTTTTCCTCCCAGCTTTTTTCTTTCTTCAGATAAGACTCCAGACCAGCCCCAGCCATTTCAGCTAAACGCCACAAACCCACCGCATACAGGCCTGTGTCTGAGAGAGAGAGAGAGAGAGAGAGAGAGAGAGAGAGAGAGAGAGAGAGAGAGAGAGAGAGAGAGAGGGGCATGTAAAATGTGTGCCATTATCATATGAATGATATAAAATGTTCACTGTTTTTCATTTTATTATTTTCAACTTTTTTAAATATAAATATTTATGTATTTTCTGTAGGGAAGGAGGGAGTAAAGCACATTTCTTGCCTGTACTATGCATATTTCTTGGTCTGCAGATGTGCATCTGGTTGTGGCCAGTATGTGCGTCTGGTGGGTGCGGTCAGCAGGTGTGTGTGTGTGTTTACCTGTGTGCAACAGTATGTACTGAGCTCCGCTGGCCGTGGTAAACTGCAGGTGTGCCCGTGTCTCTCCTGAATCTACATCTACCTTCGAACCAATCATGTCACCCGATTTACCCGAGAAAATCACCATCTCAGTCTTCCGACAGGGAGAGAGAGAGAGAGAGAGAGAGAGAGAGAGAGAGAGAGAGAGAGAGAGAGAGCGAGAGAGGAGGACAAGTTAAGATGATTACTGTGTTAAAGAAGTAGTTTGGTGACAAATCACTAATGTATCTGATCAGCCGGGAAATGTTCGGCGTCGAAAGTTTGCTATGTGAGTTTTACACTGGAGGCTAATGTAACTAACAAGTAAGTTAAGTATCCTTCATTAATACCACAAAGGGGAAATTCACCTCCACATTTAACCCATCTGTGCAGTGAAACACCCACATGCACACTAGTGAACACACCCGGGGAGCAGTTGGGGGTTAGGTGTCTTGCTCAAAGGCACTTCAGTCACGTACTGTCAGCTCAGGGGATCGAACCGGCGACCTTCCGGTCACAAGGCTGGTTCCCTGACCTCCAGCCCACGACTGCCCCCAAGTAATGGAAGCTTATACCCCAATCAGAGCTGCACAACAAATTGCACTTCCATTGCTATTGCTATTGAGTTTTTGAGGTAAAAAGTTATCATACTCTGTCCCAAAGGATGTAATCAGACAGGCCTAATGAGTGTTTCTCCTTCTCAGTGTTGTGTGTTACATGTATGAAGCAATAATGGCTACCATTACAAACCTGCATCACCATGCAGGACATTTTTAAGGAATTAAATTTACGACCCTATTTCCAAAAAAGTTGGGACGCTGTGCAGAATGTAAATAAAAATAGAACGCAATGATGCGCAAATCAAGTACACCATATCATATCAAATGTAGAAACTGAGAAAATGTTTGTTTTTTGAAAAAATATTTGCCCATTTTGAAAAAGTTGGGACGGGGGCCTGTTTACCACTGTGCTTCATCACCTCTTCTTTAACAACACTCTGTAAGCGTTTGGGAACTGAAGAGACACTGCTGTAGTTTAGAAAGTGAAATGTTTTCCTTTCTTGTTTGATACAGGATTTCAGCTGCTCATCAGTTCAGGGGCTCATTTGTCGTATTTTTTATTTCATAATGCACCAAATGTTCTCAGTGGTGACAGATCTGGACTGCAGGCAGGTCAGTTTAGCACCTGGACCCTTTTAATACAGAGCAATGCTGCTGTAATACATTCAGAATGTGGTTTGACATTGTCTTGCTGAAATAATCAAAGCCTTCTCTGAAAAAGACGTCGTCTGAATTCCACTACAGAATCATGTCTGTTTTTAATGCAGTGCTGCCTGAGGGCCCAAAGATCACATATCAAATGTATTTCCCTATTTACATATTTCAGAGTGGAACCATCAGGACCCTCTACGCCCTCAGAGTTGGCCTAAAATATTCTAAAATTAATATTTTAAAATTGAGCAGTTCTAGTTTCATCTGATCACATTTTGACAATCAACATCCAACACATGTCCTGTCGGCTCAGGGGATCAAACCGGCGACCTTCTGGTCACAAGGCAGGTTCATTAATGCGCGAAATACCAAAACTGTCAGTAAACTCTGCCCGCGCTCATTTTACGATCAGATTTGAGTGTAACTGTGATGAATAAGGGCAGCTTCCTGTATATAAATAAGGGCCATTAATTCATGAAACCCTGACTTTAGCCAGGCTGTAATGTGGCTGCGCTGTGTGTGTTGATGGTTACCGGTATAGGTGTGTGAGGCAGCGCTGGACGGTTATATGATAACACAGCGATGTCCTCGGTTCCGTCTTTGTCCAGATCAGGCATGATGATCACTGGGAGGTTTCCGTTAATAACCGGAGAGCGCTGACGCTGCCACACAACGACACCTGAACACAGACAGACACAGCATTAACACAACTGATTCTTTTTCTCCTTTTCTACAAAGACATAAATACTTTAACATCTCTGATATAGGGAACCATGCATAACTGAAAAACGCAGAACAACCCCTGCCCTCCCGCCCACTGTTACCGCTGAAGATGCTTCAGAAATCTTTAGACTGGTGATGTTAACAGTATCCAGACAGTCAAGTAAAAGCAGCCAAATTCTACCAAACCTGTCTTGTTGTTTAAAGTTAGTCAAATTAGTCACATCTTCTGTTGTTCAGTGAAATGATCTTAATTCTAGTCGATATGTCTGATATTTCTTATTGTGAGATGGTTGTGCACTTATTATAAAATTACTTAGCTTATTTCTAGACATTACTTACTTGTTTTAGATCATTTTATTAAGTAAAATCATCTCATTGTCTTTGTCATAGCTGTCGTTGTGTGGCAGCGTCAGACAGACAGACAGACAGACAGACAGCATTGACACAAACTGATTACACAAATATCTTTGTAACATTGCTGATATAGAGAAACATAACTGAAAAACGCTGAACCACCATCCAACCCCTGCCCTCCCGCCCACTGTTGCTTAAGAGGCTTCAGAAATCTTTAAACTGGTGATGTTAAAGGTATCCAGATAATCAAGTAGAAGCAGCCAAATTCTACCAAACCCGCCTCATTTTTAAAGTAAATTAATTTTCCCCATGTGTAGAGTCTGCACTGGATCACTGAGCCACACATTATCTAAGTAGAGCTTCTTTCTTTTTCCAAAATAGAGGAATTCATTTCTTTAGCCATGAGGAGGGCACAGGATGACGACTGCTTCTGGGAGTCCCTCAAACGACTCTATATGTCAGCTTATATATCACTTATGATTTCCAGTAATAACAGAAATTATCAAGCTCCAGTGACTGGATCAGCTGTCAGGTACCGGGAGTTTTTACTGAACTGGGAAAATCTGCTTTGAGCTGCAAAACTCACTCAATCAGTCGCTTTAAACTTTTAATCTCTAACCACCTTCAGACAGCCTGTCACTGTTTTAGTTGGGTTTAATTTTTCATTTCTCCTTTTTATTTTATATTATTTTATTTTTCCAAACAATTTATTTTTATTTTATTTGTCTGGTTAAAATCTTAATTTGATCTTAATTCAATTAATGTTATTCATTTATTTCTTCATTTTTATTACTTTTTAAAAAAATTTTATTTGACTGTTTCAAATTTTATTTATCCTTTTATTTTAATTTTATTAATTGGTTTATTATCTTGATTTTATTTCCCCTTCTTAATTAAATCTTCATTATTCTCTTACATTTTTTTCATTTATCTTGTTTGATTTTGTTCATTTGTTCATGTAGCTCTGTTCATTTTAGCTTAACCTGATTAAATTTCATTTTAATATCTTTTTCAGTCCCTTATACTGTAAATGCTCGGCTGCATTAAAAACGAGGGTCACCCTCAGTGCATTTCCAAGTAAAAATAAAGTTTGACTGATTAACTGACAGAGTTGCACTAATATAATAAATATAATAAAACTGTGTGTGTTTGCAAAAAGGTTAAAGTGCTGCCTGTCTATTTTTTCAGCTGATCACTGTTTGTGTGATAGCGTATGTACCTGTGTGCATGTCCACGGCTGTGAAATTGTCAGCATGAGCCACCAGACAAGTTTTTCTATTTATTCCTCCAACTCCGCACTCCACCCAACTCAGTTCAGCAGCTAACGGCCGTTCCCACAGCGTCCTACCATCGGTACCATCGACCGCCAGCAGGAACAGACACGGGGAGGGCAGACCTGACAGAAAACAACCATAAACAAACAGGAATACAGCAAATCACAATCAGGCTTTATTGGTGTTTGCACAGTTGATGAATTACTGTTCGTTTACACAACAACTCACAATAGAACATTTCACATCACACTGAATATACACACCGTCTCACACACACACACACACACACACACACACACACACACACACACACACACACACATCCACATACAGCTGTGCAGAACACAACACAAACTTTAAGCTGGCTTGATAAAACCGTTGGTGACCTAGGTGGTTGCTAAGGTGTTCTTAGGCCGTTGCTATGTCATTCCAGGTGTTTTCTATGGTGCTAGGCTTTTCCTGTGGTGTCCCAGGTGGTTGCTGAGGTGTAGCAAGTAGTGTTCGTTGGTTTAACAGTTGTAAGGTAAAATTATTTCCAAAAAAGTTGGGACGTTGTTTTCACCACAGGAAAGCGTCACACTTCATGTAAATGCAGCACAAAAAGTGACCCAAACAGCAAGAGCGGTTTACGACCTGTAATCCGTGGAGCAGGATACCAGCGAAAACATGATCCAAAGTCGATCCACAGAAAATCCAGACTTAGATCCAGCTGAGCTTTAAAAGTTAGCTGGCTAAGGAAGAAATCCTGCTTTGTGAAACGGTCATTTCTGTTTGTGTGCATTGATTCTGACCTTCTCCAGAGCAGGTGTGGTTCATGCTGCCCTCCGAGCTCTTATAGATGAAGAGCACGTCCTGCACTTTGTCTTTGTTGGCGTCCCCCATGGCCAGGAAATCATAGGTAGCTGAAAATAACAGAGAGAGAGAGAGAGAGAGAGAGAGAGAGAGAGAGAGAGAGAGAGAGAGAGAGAGAGAGAGAGAACATATTAAGAACACTGCCAATCCGAAAGGTTTGGGGACAAAATGTTTTTAATGCAAATTATATTGTTTAATTCGTTGGTTAACAATAACTTACCATGTTAAACTCTCAGCAGGTTCACTTAAAGGAAAACAACATCACATGTAAACAGCAGTTACAGTATATTATTTTTCCCAGTGGAGGTCCGGTAATGTAATCTGTGCTGATTCATTTGGGATAAAGGATCTGTGCAATTTCCCTAAATGACCCCAAACAGCCCAAATCCACGGCTCGGTTTAGACCTTGATTTTCGAACCATGATTCAGTTCATACCTGGGGGGGGGGTTTGGGGGGGTCGAGGTTGAATAATAAAAAAAAAAAAATGGGGAAAATTTCTGTGTTTTATTAAAATCACCAACAATTTGGAACAGTAAGGAGAAGAACACAGTAGATTAACTTAACTTCACATAAATTATCTATGTAAACAAAAACAACAAACAGAAATGAACGATATACAGACAGATGCCAGCATTGCTTTCTGACCCTAACCTGCTAAAGCTGGGGGAATCGCGAGACCGTGGACGTCTGTATCGTGGTGTTGGTCTCGGTTTCAGAATCGTCAGACTCCTAATGTTCATGTCAGAAATCTGCCACAGACGCCACACTTCCAAAAATAACATCACACTGTGTGGCTAAACGGCGTATAGAGCAGTGGTTCTACAGTCCTGCACTTTTTAGTGTTTTCCCAGCTGCCAACACAGCTGAGTAAACTATTTAGCTGACTAACAGCCCATTATTGAGCTGAAGTTGCTGTGTTAAAGCAGGAAAAGCACTACAATGTGCAGGACAGTGGGCCTCCAGGGTCTGGGCTGAGAAACACTGATACAGAGCATCAGGTTATTAAAGTGGGTTCATTCAGCTTCCCAAATGCCGCCCAACAAGACAGAAAAAGAGGTGCTATAGAGATATTTCATTTTCCTTCTCCCTCGTAATTAATCCATCACCAAACATGTGGATTTCAGTTTCTGGTCATGAATTTAAGGTTTAACCTTTTCAACTCCTTGAGACCACCGGTGGTTCCAAAACGCACTTCCTCATACTCCTCATAACTTTGACATTTCATAAGCTACATTCTAAAGGTGGGGGTCGTATGAGAGCTGTAACTGTCTTCTTTCCAGTCAAATAGATGGTGATGTAATTTTAAACCCTTGTAATAAAAGAAGCTGAACTCACAATTTTTTTTTTCTACTGAAAGTCGACTCATTTTTCCACAAATCTGAGCTATAAACTATAAACAGATGGTGTCTCTTCAGTGATCTGCTCTGTAAACATTATTTTTATAAAATAATACAAAGAGCATCTAAGATATTTGGCTTTGAGTAAACTGTAAGCATATAGCGATATGTGTATGATCATAAAACACATGGAAATTCAGATGGACAAACAAAAATAGACCCTGGTCAATAAGAGGTTAAGGAATTTGGCCAAATCAAGCTCAATTTTAGCTGTTAGCCTCGTCTTCAGGTCACACTAAGCGCTAACATGGAGCTCCTGGTCTGAATTTGAAACATTACCAATGTTTATGTACCACATCAAACTACACTTTGAACTGGAAAACGTCATTTCTTCTATGATGTGGACCCTTTAATGTATGTAATGTTTGTGCTGTGCAGCAGGGCTACCAGTATACAAACACTGGTGTCAAGGGCCCGTGTCATGAGCAGGAGCAACAATAACTGTACTGGGCCTGTGTGGCGTTACCTGCGTTAGGTAGGGTGCGGTTCCAGGTGCGCAGGTACTGCGGGCGGACGGGGCAGGGCAGGATGAAGGAGAAGGCGAAGACGACGGTGAGGCAGAGGAAGAGAGACAGGAGGAAGGCGGCTGTGCGCCAGCCGGTGAGTTTATTCATGCCCAGTTTACCGCAGCCTGCAGCGCGATCCTTACAGACTCCGTCCGCCTGATCACCTTTCAGAGGCTCCGCCTCCATCGGCCGCTCCACAGAGTCCGACATGTCTACTGCAGCAGAGAGAGAGACAGAGAGAGGGAGAGGAGAGAGAGAGAGAGAGAGAGAGAGAGAGAGAGAGAGAGAGAGAGAGAGAGAGACACACAGGAGAGAGAGAGAGACAGAGACACAGAGAGAGAGAGACAGAGACACACAGAGAGAGAGACAGAGAGAGAGAGAGACACAGAGACACACAGAGAGAGAGAGAGACAGAGACACAGAGAGAGAGAGAGACACGAGAGAGCAGAGAGAGAGAGACACACAGAGACACACAGAGAGAGAGAGAGACAGAGACACAGAGAGAGAGAGAGAGAGAGAGAGAGAGAGAGAGAGAGAGAGAGAGAGAGAGAGAGAGAGAGACAGAGACACACAGAGATCAGCTCAGTCTCAGACAGATCTAGAGGCCAAAATCAGCCTGATGGGCGCACATATTGGCATCCACCCCCCCACAGCTGCGGTTAAAGGGGAATTCCACCCATTTTTCAAAATTTCTCTTGAATTTAGCAGCTGAGATGTAAACAGAGTCATTCAGAGTGGTTTGGTGTGAAATGCTTGATTTTAGAGACTCATATTTCTTTACAGTGGAGGCATGAGGGCACAAGAGCGTGGCGCAGACTACAAAATGACGACACGACTACAGTGGTCTATTATGGAGTGCCTTGTGGAAGCTCACATGGCTCTGATTTGCCTAAAATACACAACATATTTACTTTTCTTTTGCAACACTGAAGCGTTTATTTGTGCTGCTGCGTGTGTGGAGGGGTGATGGGTCTGGAGGCTCCACCGTGTGACGAGGTTTGCATGGACAGGTCCTACATCGGTGGAGTAGATCACAGCAAACACAGGCGGGAGTTGGTGAGGACTACAAGCACAGCCCAAAGTAGGCGGGTGCGGGTGGGCATGGCGTGTGGGTGAAGCAGGAGGCTGCAGACAAAAACCCGTGCAGACATCTACTCACCACCGTGGATCACTGTACGCCTATTCAGGGCCAATTAAATTCAGGATTACAAATCAATTCACCCAATCAGGGCTGAGCTTCTGACCAATCGGGGACAGCCTTCTGACGGGGTGGACCACTCTGGTTGTTTTTCGTGACATCTGTGGCGTCAATCACATGAAAACAAGTTTTAGGCCAACGCTTTATGCCAAACCCTAAACCTCCAACATTAAACAATGTCTCAGTGGATTCATAACCATTTCATGTAGGAACTTTCTGTGAGGGAGCTTTTAGAGGTGGACGTCTGGTTCCTATCACCACCACTGTGAACAGTTCTGACTCTAGAACAGAGCGTTTCACACCAAACCTCTCTGAATGACCCTGTTTACATTTTAACCATTTAACTGTGCAGAAATTTTGAAAAACTGGTGGAATTCCCCTTTTAGAATGGTTTTATCTACAGACAATTTGATTAATCATCAAAATAACTGTTGCTCGATCGCCGCCAGCGCCAGCCCTGCCGGTTCACTGTCTGTTTACAGAGCGGAGATGGACTGCATGGACACAGATCTCCTGACTCATCTGGCCTCGGTCTGACCCCCACGGCCCCCTCCAGCTCCCGGTGGGCTCCAGAGGCTTCCAGTCGAGCTCAGAGGCCGCGGGCGCCTGTCTGAAACGTTCAGGGAGAAAACAAAAACAGCCGGGGACACAAAGCAGCTGGGGCAGGACGGGGCGGCTGACATGCTGCAGCTTGGCAGGCAGTTTAAAATGAGAACCTTCCGGCCAAAACAGCCACAACACACACGCGGAGTCAACAACAACACAGAACAGCAGCTCCGACACAAACACACCGCACTTTAGACCACATAACACAGGCTGACTGGAGCCTTAACTTCACACCGACCTTCCACCCTCACAATGTCACACTTTAATTACTGATACATCAGCCCATTCTGGTTTAGTATGATGAGAAAAATATGATTTGACTACATGATTTTAATATGATTTGACTGACTGCAGTAGAGAGATGCCTTTTTTTTAGTTACACACTTTAGATGAACATCAACAGTGCATATTTTTTTAAACAATTTATTTTTTTGTAATTTTTTATCTGCATTTTTAAACGTTCATTTTTTAGAATTTTTATATTTCTACCCCTTTTTACTCAATGTTTTATTTCTGTCGTCTACTATTATTTTATGTAATGCATTTTTAAGGTGCATGTCTATGTTGTTATTATTATTAACATGTACTTTCCACACATTTAATCACAGTTAAGTTAGGACTGTGTTGATTTGTTATGAATCAGTAGCCCCACGTGACCAAAGCACTGAATTTAATGATGAATCATGTGATAAAATTTCAATTCGAAGCTCTCAGAACAAGCAGACTAAAGAAAATCTAACACTTTAGACTTGAAAAATAAAGAAATTAATAAATGTGACGGAGTAAGACTGTTAGGAGTGACACCTTCATTAAAAGCAGTGTCGTAATACCGCATAACACCCATAATCAGGACAAACGAGCTTTATTAAAGGCTTATTATACTTAGTGATCAACTACGGAGCCTTAAATATTCACTATAGACGATATTAACTCATTAACCCGCGGGTTAGACGAACTGTGGGCGAGTTAAAGCACACTTTGTGTACGAAGGTCGCGAGTTTCCGCTCCACCTTAAAAGCTCCAGCAGTTCCATTCAGGGTCCTCAGGCGCGCGACTGTCACAGCTGCTCCTTTTAAGGTGGAACGGAAAGTTGGAGTGAGAAGCGAACTTCAGCCCGTAGTTCGAGCTTCTGCTGAATCTCCGTTTCCGCGACAGGTTAAATCTTTACTTCGCTGCAGATTTACGGGGTTAAAGCGTGTAAAGGCGGCGGTTCTTACCGCGCTGTATGCTCGGTGTGTTTAGCGGAGATCCTGGTCGCTCTGCGTCCGCCTCGACTACACCAACACCGCGGATACGGGTAGCTTAGCCTCGCCGCTAATGGGGACGAGGCGCGCGCTGGGACAAAACACACCGCGGGTTTTCAGTTTCGGCTGACGAAAGACGTTGTGTTTTGGAGGGTGTGACGCACGACGCTTTTTAGGGCTTATTAACAAAATAAACACAGTAGACTTCGAGAATAAAGTCGTAATATTTCGAAATAAAGTCGTGATATTTCGAGAAAAAAAGTCGGACTATTTCGAGAATAAAGTCGTAATATTTCGAGAAAAAAGTCGGACTATTTCGAGAAAAAAGTCGTAATATTTCGAGAAAAAAGTCGTAATATTTTGAGAAAAAAGCCGTAATATTTTCGAGAAAAAAGTAGTAATATATCGAGAAACAAAGTCGTAGTATTTCGAGAAAAAAGTCGTAATATTTTGAGAATAAAGTCGTAATATTTCGAGAAAAAAGTCGTAATATTTCGAGAAAAAAGTCGTAATATTTCGAGAAAAAGTCGGACAATTTCGAGAAAAAAAGTCGTAATATTTCGAGAATAAAGTCGTAATATATCGAGAAAAAAAAGTTGTAATATTTCGAGAAAAAATTCGGACTATTTCTAGAAAAAAGGACGTAATATTTCGAGACAAAGTCGTAATATTTTGAGAAAAAAAGGCCGTAGAATTATGACATTAAAGTGGCATTAATACCAGGAAAGGTCACAATATTGTGACCAAAGGCTTTGCGAAGGGAAGCAGCGCCTCCTCGTGTTAAATGAGGGGCGGTGAGTTGGTGGAGTTCTACTTTCATATCGATTCCCCCATAAAGAAACACTCAGTCTCCCTGTCTCTCCTGCACATCAGCACCAGCCTGTTATTAGGATAAGAACCGGCTGAAACGGCTGAGCAGGAAACTGTGTTTATCTAGAATAAAGAGCCAGACGGACTCGGAGGAAACTGTCTGTCTGTGTTGTTGAAGGAGAATCTCAGGCAGGGTCGTCTACACGGCTATCGGGGGCTACATCTCCCCCCATTCAAAGAGGGCATGAAGTTTCACAGACAGAGAGAATGATGATCAAAATGATCCACAGAGAGACAGGAGTGAGTGGAGCTCCGGCGCCAGGACAGCAACCGAGACCCCAACACGTTATGGCAGCCCCCCTACAGTTAGCCCCTCTACAGTTAGCCCCCCTACATTACAGCAACCGAGACCCCAACGTGTTATGGCAGCCCCCTACAGTTAGCCCCCCTACAGTTAGCCCACTTTATCCTCCAAATATTACGACTTTATTCTCGAAGTCTACTATTTTTATTTTAACGTACAGTGGCCCTAAAACGCCGTCCTTTAATCCTGTGTCAAAAAATCAAAAATAGCTTTCAAGAAAATAAACTACGGGGCCCTGCTGGTGACATCCCATTTAAATAAAAATAATGCGTGGCCACGACTTAGTAAGGCATTGGAATGAGATAAAGTTGTGGCCACGACCTATTAAGGTGTGGGATGGAAATACTAAAGTGTGGCCATGACTTAGTAAGGCGTGGGAATTAAGCCTCGTTCCCACACCTTGCTAAATCAGGGGCACGACTTAAATGTCTCATTGCCACATATTACCAACTTGTGTAGACCTTAGATAATAAACATTTATTATATTGTATTTTTCACCCCTGAGGTAAACTTATTACGTTTGTGTGTTGTTATTAGATAGATAGATAGATAGATAGATAGACAGACAGACAGACAAACAGACAGATAGATAGATAGATAGATAGATAGATAGATAGATAGATAGATAGATAGATAGATAGATAGATAGATAGATAAGTAAATGGACAGACAGACAGATAGACAGACAGACCTACAGATAGATAGACAGACAGATAGATCAGATAGATAGATAGATAGATAGATAGATAGACAGACAGATAGATAGACAGAACAGTACAGCAGAGATCGACAGTACAGCAGAGCAGGAGCCGAACCAGCACAACAGAATCAAATCAATCTCCAAAATTGAGAATTAGGAACTCGTGTTAAAGACTAAACTGTATTACTTTCCTCGCTAATGCTTGAGTAAGAAGCATAACTAAATCAGAAATGTAATTTAATGGCCCATCAGTCCGTGTGTGTAGCCGCTGCCCACCCCGGCACTACATACGAGCTGCGCTGTAAACACGGTTTTAAATGGATCAAAGCTGAGTGCCCTGTAGCTTTAAGATGACGTGGCGCTCGCCTATTGGCCGCCTGCTCTCCGCCTCGCTGGAGGAAGAGACGCGGCGCTCGGATAACAAACCGTCCGTCCGTTAGCAGAGGGTTCGCCTGAAATACGGACTTTCCTCGAGTGTAGGTTGAGTAAAAACTCCCAGTCCGCGCTAGGAGAGTAGCTAATCGGCGGAGATGTCGGCCCAGGCTCAAATGAGAGCCCTGCTGGATCAGCTAATGGGGACTGCGCGGGATGGTGAGTAGCTGAAGCTAAGCTAAGCTAAGCTAAGGCTAGCTCTGCGGCTCAGCCCGCCTTAATCGCGGCGATAAGAGCGATAAAAGCCGCCGTAGACAGTCTGTTTGGGGGTTGTGATGTATCTGAGTGATCGTACGGATAATCTGTGTTAACTGTGTGTAGAGATGGACTGAGCTCGGTGAGCGGTTTCCTCTGGAAATGCCCTGTTTAATGTCTGCTCTGCTGTAGGCCGGACTAATGGACATAATAGCGGCGAGGCTAAGGCTGGCCGGTACGATACGGCCTAGAGATACCGCGATAGCTGCGCGCACATATAATTTCACGATACTTCAAGACGAGATTTTTACGGTACACGATATGAATCGCAATATTTAGTTTTTCGGAAATTGTAGTTGGACAGTGTTCTTTAGATATCCATGATATGTTCAGAAAAGCGTATTGGGACATTACTTACTATGATATGAATGATAAAATATTGTCATATTGCCCACCTCTACTTTCATGATTTGTGATATGCTGAAACAGAACTCGAGCTGTTTCAGAAGGCACTTGATGGAAAATCAAGCTATTGATAAAATGGTAATAAAATGTGTTTATGAAATGGTGGTCAGTCAGTAAGCTACTTGTTAATAGGGGTGGACAATATGGCAAATATGTGTATATGTACATATGTGCATATATATATAAAATGTGTGTGTATATATATGTGTGTGTGTATATATATGTGTGTATATATATATATATATATATAGATATATATATATATATGTATATATATGTATGTGTGTGTACATACACAAACAAACCTGCAACCACAATGTTTATATACACATGTATGTTCAATATGTATATTTTTTCAATATTTATTTGTTTAATTGTATAATAATTGCATGTAGTATACACACATGATTTTATGAAAATATGCATTAAATATTTATAATTTAACTTTTTAAATAGTTGTGTATGTTCATGTTTATACAAATATTATGCACACACATATAATAAATATTGTATGTGTATGTATATGCAGTTATTAAAAAATTAGTTAAACAGTTAAACATTTATAAATATTTAATGTGTATATAGAAATGATACATTAAACAAGACAGTAGACAGATAGATAGATAGATAGATAGATAGATAGATAGATAGATCAGTAGATGGATAGACAGACAGATAGATAGATAGATAGATAGATAGATAGATAGATCAGTAGATGGATAGACAGACAGATAGATAGATAAATGCATAAGTAGATGGATAGATAGACAGACAGACAGACAGATAGTGTGTGTGTGTATATATAAATGACTACATTAAACAAGTTAATGCAGTTATTAAATAATTTAACTATATAAATATGTAGTAGCTCATTTTTCTGGAATTGTCTGCAGGCCTTAAATAAAGGGCGTAATTTCTCAGAGGAAACCGCGTTTTACGAGCTGACCTACACACTTTTGTCCACGCTCAGTCCAGAACGAGTGGACTAGTTAAAGTGCTGTGAGTTGAACGGAGGGACTTCTTTCGCTCAGACCTCCATGTGTGTGATTTTTCTGAGTGCGGTTGACGTTGGCTGGGAGAGACTCTCTCTCCCCGGCCGTGTGAATGCCGTTGTGTCTTTTTGTGTGAGTGCTGAGATGAATTCATTTGCTTCCCGTTCATGTGTTTCATACAGACTGAACAATTGTGGCCCCTTTATTCTATTCATTAAGGTTCAGTGTATCTTTGCCAGCCTACATCAATCTGCAAGGGAGTTGCAGAAAAGCCTCATGTTCATCGAGCCGTGAGTCACCAATGATTTTTAAAGCTGTTATGAATATCCAAACCATTATATTTGCTTTCCAGCCAGAAGTAGCCTAACTATACTGTAAGCCTACATCAGGAAGACTTGGTAAAAGCAGAGTGGCGGTAAAGTAAGAGGAAAGCAGCGAGAGAAGGGCGGCTTACAGCAACGAGCTGGGCCGGCACCAATAGCGCGGTGCGGTATGTGCACCGCTGGACCAGTTTAACACATAAGAAAGAAGCTAAATTTTAAGAAAAAAGGAAAAATCCTCCGCCAGCGGTCTTCTCTTTGACTCTTGTGTATCATTCCCAACTTCCTCATTGCAGGTTTGGTCAAGAAAAGCTTTACCCTTTAATCTTTAATAAGGCCACCGAAGGGCTGGAGCTGCAGGCGGGGTACAGTATGGGAGAGAGAGCTCGCAGTGTGTATAAACTAACACTTTACTTTTAGTTTTTTTCTGCCTTTTTTTTTCTTTTTCTATTTTATTTTTTTTTTATTTCTCCCCCTCATTTTGTCCTGAAGGACTGGAATGTGTACAGCAGGCTGCCCCAACGGTTTCCTACAGTCTATCACGCAAGGGTTAACTCCACTGAGAGTCCTTAAACTGCTGTTGTTAAAATACTGCCCCCCATATACAGAGAGAATTCACCACTTCACTCCACTCAGACGAGCGTTAGACCCCCCCCCCTCTCCACCCCCCCTCCCCACACCCCCTCCCCACACCTCCTCCCCACACCCCCTCCCCACACCTGTCCGTGCCAATTTGAAGTCAAAGGGCATCATTCACTGTCAGCGTTCCTACAAAACCCCCAAACCAGCACAGCTCACCACAGTACATACAGTATGTGAACAGTC